ACAGGGATCAGTCTTCATTGTTTGCCAAATAGAATGGAGTATATCATTGCCTTTGCACTATTTATAACATTCTGACTTCTGTTGTGATTAACTAAGAATTAGCGTTTTGTTTTTCTTTTTAGATGAATAGCGCCCTAATCCTTCTGGTGGCCGTTGGTCTTTCCTGCTTGATGGCAGTCCAAGCAACCTCATTCGGCGTTCTAGCCGGCCTAGGAGCCTTGACGAGCGCTATAAGCAAACGGAGATATCACGGTGCAAGCCATGGACGCGGCCATGGCCATGGATATAGAGCTCCTAAAAGGAAGTACCGTCTCCGCTACCGCCGCTCCGTCGCAGCAGCTGATGAGGAAGATGACGACCTGATTTTATCTGCAGTAGGACAGCTGGATGCCGACACCTGCATCCCCAAGATGTTTTGCGTCCTGCAGGCGAAGGATGAATCCGATCGCACACTGAAAGAGAACATGCTTGTGGAAATCTTAAGCGATAATACCATGAACCCAAACTCCTACAACGCTGCCTTCGTCTACGCTAGAGTCGTCGCCACTGAGGAGAAAGACTCCTCCGTCTGCAAGAAGGTTTTCCCCAAATGTTCACTTGGTGAGGAGGAACTGAGTGAGCTCTTGGATCTGGCATGGGGCTGTGACTGCAGCTCTGGAGGGAAAGAGTAAAGCTTGCAGCTAAAACTCATTGTCGCATCTGTTGGCATCTTCCTATGGCTAGAGCCACAGAAGGGTGACAAGGTGCGTCTCTCTCTAATGTCCGTTGGGCAGCGAAAACACATGTTCACTGATGAGTCATACTGCAAAGAGAAAATCTCTAATTGCGATATGTCCTGATAGTGTTCATACATTATATGCAGATATTCTGTGCCTATTGTTAGATAATATTTATTTGCTTCATGACTGCGAATATACAGGTGGTTAACCCCAAAACAGATGTATTATTTTCTACACCACATGCTGTATAGTTATGACAGCATATTTCTTACCATGCTGAAACTTTGATGACTTTAGACAAATAAATTTAAATATAGTTTCTAGAATGATTGTGTTTTATCCCTTTCTTTTTCACCATCACCTAACACATTACATATATTTCCAGGCATATTGTACAAGAATCCTGATTAGGCCACCAAAACTTAATAAATCTCTGTCTGCATAGCTATATTTATTTATATCTGTATCAGTCTATCTTTATATGAATATATATATCTATTTCTATCTATCTATATGTATTTATTTATCTATATATGTACCTATATATCTATATGTAAAATATGTATATATACATGTCCTTATTTATATAAATAAATATATAAACGTATATACATGTGCATGTACTTATTTATCAATCAATCTATGTCTTTACATATAACTCTTATATGTATACATATACATATTTAAATAAATATATAAATGTAATTATATGACAAAGGAACAACGCAGGGGAGAACAAGAAAACTCTAAGGCATTTTCGCTGCATTGCTTCTTCAGGGTTTCTTCATGCCTTGGATAAACAATATATATACATATACATACTTACATTCATATATGTGTACACACACACAAGCATATATATATATACTTGTACACATGTTTATGCATCTGTCTATCTATATTTACATATAAATTTATATATAAATGCCCATATATATATGTGTGTATGTATAAATATATGTCTGTGTCCAGGTGTTCATTTTTCATACATTTAAATAATAGAAATAAATAGGAACACCTGACAACTACCTGTTGCCATGGAAACCCAAGCGGCATGTGGCAACTCTTGGGTACCTGTGCGCATGCGCGTGACAAACGGGCAGGTGGGCACGAGTCACGGTCACTCTCTCTCACGACTCACGGAAGAAAAGGTAGCAACCTGAGCTGAAATTGATTTTAGAAAATTACTGCTGATCGGCGACCTGCAGGCCGCATCGCCGTCATCGGAAATTCAATATCTCCTCAGCCTCAGCCTCATACAGTTGAAAAGAATTTGACGTGAGTAAAAGAATGTTAACCACAGAAGTACGTACCGTGCCGTGAACGAACAATAATGAAAAAAAAAGTACTCTCGCAAATTCATTATCTTTGAACTCGCAGTTACATTTTCTTTGAAATGATTATTAAGTAAAATAAATAAAAATATACATTACTCTCCCTGTGTCTAAGATCCCTTTAAATATAAACAAACAATTAACATGAGACTTTGAACTATGAAAAAAAAAACATTGAGATGTATATATATATATATATATATATATATATATATATATATATATATATATATATAAACTTTGAATTAGATTATAAACTCTGAATTTCTATTATTCTGAAGTTAATTCAATGAATAACTTTATACATAAGATAAAAATTGTCAGATTGTCAAGAATGAAACCGGGATTATAAATAAGTGTATAAAAGAAAACACGTAAATCATGAATGATTAAAGACTTTGAACATTTTGATAAAGAAGACTGATATAAATCTTCATAAGAAAGAAAGACTTTGATAAGAATTTGACAGTCTGTATATGTCTCTCCTTATATATATACATATATATACATGCGTATATATTGTACATACACTCATGTATGTGCATATATATACACATTTGTTTTTGTTTAAGTATAATTGAATTAAATTGTTGAAAGTTTCTCTTTGCTTACCGTTTTTCACATTTATGGGACATTAGCACTTGTTTCAACTTCGGAATATAAACTATCAAACGTTACTTGGAAATATCCATATCTATTAATTATCCTGTTAAAAAAAAAAAAAAAAATGGAAACCTTTCTCTCTTAAATAGCTTTCACTCACAGCAGTCAGCCTCCAAAAGAAGAACCAGAGCAAGCGGTTTCCTTAATAAATCAGGATGGACACGATAACCATGTTCTTTGACTTCATTTTTTCCTCTCTTTTTCCGCCTTAAACGATGTACCATTTCCATTCCCTGATATTTCATGTACCGGAGACGTGTATTATAAAAGCCCTCGGAGAAAAAAAATGGCTTTATTTACCCTGAATTGATTGCCACGCGGGTGTAATCAGAAGGAAAGAAGTGCACTAAAAAAAAAAAAAAAAAAAAAAAAAAAAAAAAAAAAAAAAAAAAAAAATGGTAGCACCAAATCCATTGAACATACGAAGCAGCATCCAGCCATTCCGAAATCCTCCATTCGCTTTCCAATCCACTCACACTAACGATGTTCCTTGCATTTCATTCTAGTTTGCCGTATATGTGCTTATCTGTTGTTGATATTTCATTGTAAAACTTGTTGATGATTATCAATCTTATACATTCATTTTTCAATTCCCCCGCCCCCACCCTCCCTTTCTCATTTGTGTTCGTTCCCTGCCCTCCCTCTTTCTCCGTCTTGTTCACTTTCTTCTCTCTTTTCATTTTTTGAAACTGCATCCCATTTGCAATTTCGTCTTTCAGCCATTTTTGTAACTATTGTGAAACCCTCATCAGCTGTTTCTCTCGTTACTGTCTTTTGCTACATTCCTTTCGTTTCCTTTCTGTTCTTGTCTCAGGTTTCTCCTTAAACAATCATCATACATAGAACTATACGCCTTCCTTTGGTTGCTACTCTTTTTTTTTCTTTCTTTCTTTCTTTTTTCTAGATTTCACTTTTACTTTCGGTGCAAACATTACTCCTTTGCTCACCACAATACCCAATGAAGTCAGAGCAATACATAAGACACAAAACATAGCAATGAACCTTTCCCCCGAGTTTTAAAATCAGCGTATAGCTCATGAATGTGAGTCACAGTTACTCGTTAACAATGAATAGTAATGAGGAAGGTCTGGCGAGTGTGAAAGTATTCTGAGAATCTCCGGTTAGCTTAGTGTTATGATCACAAAAAGGGAGCGTATGTAATCCTAAATCATTGTGTATCATATTAAGATACAGTTGACTGTGCGTAACAGAAAGGTAGGTTTTCAATACCAGCATGATCCAACATCACAGATTTAACTTGTCAAGATGGGTCCAACATCCTAGACAGATTCAACGCGAAAATTATATCGATTACAACAGTTAGGTATTACATAGTTTTAACAGAATACTTAGCTACAATATGGCAGCATGGATTCGACATGGCAGCAAGAAAACTCAAATACATGAGTTGAAATCAAAGATAAAAAAAGAAAGACAGAAAAAAAAAAATCAGCACGATAGACTCTAGACTGAACACGATAGAGAAACTAGTCCGGGATGGTAGTAAAAACCTATAAGGCTATGTAGGTTTACAGAAATATACAATGAAACATGCTTTGCTAAAAATAAATCATGAGATGTATAAGTACCTAGCATTAACATAATTTTATGGACACAGAAAATAGAACGTAATCAAATAATTCGTAATATTATCTGTGTCATTACTGTGTGTTTTTATTATCATTGATACTGTTGCATACTCATTCTTGTTGTCATTATCATTATCATTGCCATCAGGAATATGCGAACGAGTAATACTGTTAATAATAATGTATTTTTCATTTTTAGACGGATGTTTTCATTCATACAGTAATTAAAGTAATGGGAATCACGGAATTACGGTGATAGAAATTGATGATAAAAATGAATTTTTAACATCAGAATACACGGATTCTTTTCTTTTGTGATTAAGAATGAACCTCTCTCAGTTGTTTTTGTTTACTTCTATATGTTAAAAAAAAATATATATTTTTTCTATTTAACTGATTGTACTTCTTCCGTTCCGTTTCCATTTCTGCGATGGCTAACTCTATATAATTACGTAGTTACATGTTTATCTGATCTTTGTACTTTTCTTTCCTCATTATCCAGTAATTCATATTCAGCAGAGGTATGGACTGCTTCCTGTAATACCTTTCTTGCACAAGGCTTGGCGATGCTGTCTCGCTATTGGTCGGGGCGTAAAAGGTCGACCAATGACATTAAAGGATATTTTGCTACAATATCAGGCAGAGAGATATATATAAGGCCTTAGACCCAGAGCTTAGTATACTCATATGCTTACTGAAGAGAACAGAACATTAAGCCTCCTAACTTTGAAGAGATTCTTTATCTACTGAGTGATTTGCAAGGTGTGTATATGTAAATTTGTGAAAAAAAGATCTGGTTATTACATAAGGTGAAAAAAAATCACGATGTTGATAGACTACAGTGTTGAACACAGGAATCAGTCTTCATTGTTTGCCAAATAGAATGGAGTATATCATTGCCTTTGCACTATTCATAACATTCTGACTTCTGTTGTGATTAACTAAGAATTAGCGTTTTCTTTTTCTTTTTAGATGAATAGCGCCCTAATCCTTCTGGTGGCCGTTGGTCTTTCCTGCTTGATGGCAGTCCAAGCAACCTCATTCGGCGTTCTAGCCGGCCTAGGAGCCTTGACGAGCGCTATAAGCAAACGGAGATATCACGGTGCAAGCCATGGACGCGGCCATGGCCATGGATATAGAGCTCCTAAAAGGAAGTACCGTCTCCGCTACCGCCGCTCCGTCGCAGCAGCTGATGAGGAAGATGACGACCTGATTTTGTCTGCTGTTGGACAGCTGGATGCCGACACCTGCATCCCGAAGATGTTTTGCATCCTGCAGGCGAAGGATGAATCCGATCGCACACTGAAAGAGAACATGCTTGTGGAAATCTTAAGCGATAATATCATGAACCCAAACTCCTACAACGCTGCCTTCGTCTACGCTAGAGTCGTCGCCACTGAGGAGAAAGACTCCTCTGTCTGCAAGAAGGTTTTCCCCAAATGTTCACTTGGTGAGGAGGAACTGAGCGAGCTCTTGGATCTAGCATGGGGCTGTGACTGCAGCTCTGGAGGGAAAGAGTAAAGCTTGCAGCTAAAACTCATTGTCGCATCTGTTGGCATCTTCCTATGGCTAGAGCCACAGAAGGGT